TCATTTTTTGATTTTTCAATTTTGAAATTTTGCAGTTCTTCGATTTTTCAATTACTAGATTTTCTAATTTTTGATTTTTCGATGTTTCACTACTACAATTTTTTGATTTTACAATTTCTCCTTTTTTCAAATTTTCTTTTTCTCACTTTTTCGATTTTCAAATTTTTGGATTTTTCAATTTTTCCCGTTGTTCGATTTTTCGATATCTTAACTTCGGAAATCGGAAAATTAAAGATTAAGTACTTGAAAAATTAAAACTCTAAAATTTTAAATGAAAGGTCAAAACTAAGAAGTAGAACAATTGCATATCGAAATGGAAAAATCAAAGTTTCTGAAAATTGAAAAATTAAAAATCAACAAATTTAATTGAAATATTAAAACTCAGAAGTGGAACTATTGCATATTAAAAAATTTTAAAAATTAAAAATCGAGAAATCGAAAAATTAGTTTCCTATACTTAAAAAATCGGAAAAATGCAAACGGAAAAATTGAAAAACGGAAAACGGAAAAATAAAAAAATTGGAAAAACGAAAAATTGCAAAATTAAAAATGTTTTTGATTTTCTAATTTTTGATTTTTGAATTTTTCAATTTTCCAGTTTTTCGATTTTTCCAATTTTTCGATTCTTCTGCTTTTCTATTTTCAACTCTTACATTTCTCAGTATTTCATTTCTACAATTTGTCGATTTGCAATTATTTGATTTTACAATTTATCTATTTCTCCATCTTCCAGTTATTAGGTTCTGTTCTTTTTTAATTTCTGGATTTTTTATTTTTCGATTTCCCACTTTTTCGATTTTCCATATTTGTTTTTTTAGTTTTTCGATTTTTTATATTTTCGATTTTAAATGTTTAGATTTATCAGTATTTTGGTTTTTCATTTCTTCTATTTTTCAATTTTGTAATTTTTGATTTTTCGATGTATCGGTACCTACTAAAATTTTTTGATTTTACAGTTATTCCTTTTTTTAAATTTTCAGTTTCCCACTTTTTCGATTATTCAATTTTTTAACTTTTCAATTTTGGGATATTTCAATTTTTCCACTTTTAACTTTTAAGGTTTTCAGTTACCAAAACCAAAAAATTAAAAATTCAGTACTTGAAAAATGAAAAATTCAAAAAGTTAATTCAAAATTCAAACTGAAAAGCAGAACAAATGCATACCGAAAAATAAAAAAAATAAAAATTCAGAAATCAAAAAATGAAAGTTTCCGACAGTTGAAAAATCGAGACGAAAAACTGCAAAAGTAAAAATGTTTTTGATTTTCAAATTTTTAATTTTTCAATTTTTCGCTTTCTCAATTACTCAATGTTTCAATATTTATGTTTTTCAATTTTCCTATTTTCACTCCTCTAATTTACATTTCTCATTTTTTTGATTTCTAAATTTTCTGATTTTAAAATTCTCAATTTTTAGGTGTTTAATTTTTCTCTTCATATATTACACTGTCTAATTCTCAATTTTTCGATTGTTTCAATTTTTCAATTTCCCAAGTTTTCGGTTTTTCAATTTTTCAGTTTTTCAATATTTCGTTTTTAGTTTTTCGATTTCTCATATATATTTTCGATTTTAAATGTTTAGAATTCTCAATATTTTGATTTTTCATTTCTTCAATTTTTAGATTCACAATGTTTTAGTTTTTGGATTTTTCAACTTTTGAATTTTGCAGTTCTTCGATTTTACAATTTTCTGAATTTTGATTTTTCCATGTTTCAGTACTACAATTTTTTGATTTACAATGTTTCCTTTTTTCAAATTTCCTTTTTCTCACTTTTTCAACTTTCGAATTTTTAGATCTTTTAACTTTAACAATTAAAAATCCAAAAATTTAATTGAAAAATTAAGACTTAGAAGGGGAACTATTGCATATTAAAGAATTTAAAAAATTAAAAATCGAGAAATCGAAAAATTAGTTTCCAAAAGTTGAAAAATCGAAAAATTCTAAATGGATAAATTCAAAAACGGAAAACGAAGAAACCGAAAAATTAGAAAAACGAAAAATTGCAAAACCGAAAATGTTTTTGATTTTCTAATTTTTAATTTTTCGATTTCTCGCTTTCTCAATTTTTCAGAGTTTAAATGTTAAGATGTTTCAATATTTATGTTTTTCACTTTTCCTATTTTTCACTTCTTCAACTTGTATTTCTCCTTTTTCGATGTTAAATGTTTAGATTTTTCAATATTTTGATTTTTCATTTCTTCAATTTTCAGATTCGCGATGTTTTAGTTTTTCTTTTCTTCAACTTCTGAATTTTGCAGTTCTTCGATTTTTCAATTTTCTGATTTTTGATTTTTCCATGTTTCAGTACTACAATTTTTTAATTTTACAATTTTTCCTTTTTTTAATTTTAAAATTTTTCAATGACTGAAGTCGAAAAATTAAAGATTAAGTTTGAAAAATTAAAAATCTAAAATTTTGATTGAAAAATTAAAACTCAAAAGTAGAATAATTGCATATCGAAAAATTAAAAAAATAAAAATCGAGAAATCGAAAAATTAAAGTTTCCGAAACTTGAAAAATCGAAAAATTCCAAATGGAAAAACTGAAAAATGAAAAACGGAAAATTCAAAAAAGAAATCGAAAAATTGGAAAGATGAAAAACTGCAACATCAAAAATGTTTTCGATTTTCAAATTTTTATTTAATTTTCTCAATTTTTCGATGTTTAAATCTTTAGATATTTCAATATTTATGTTTTTCAATTTTCCGATTTTTCACTTCTTTAATCTGCATTTCTCAGTTTTTTGTTTTCCAAATTTTCTGATTTTAGAATTCTCAATTTTTAATTTTTTTTTCTTTAATTTTTCGATTTTTCAATATTTAATTTTTCTTCGATTTTTGGTGTTTTAGTTTTTCGAATTTTCAGCTTTTGAATTTTGCAGTTCTTCCATTTTTCGATTACTAGATTTTCTGACTTGATTTTTCGAGGTTCCACTATTGTTTTATGATTTTACAATTTCTCCTTTTTCCAAATTTTCTTTTTCTCACTTTTTCGAGTTTTCAGTCTTTGGATTTTTCAATTTTTCTCTTTCTATTTTTCGATTTTTCAACTTTAAAATTTTTTAGTTACTAAAACCGAAAAATTAAAGATCAAGTACTTGAAAATTTAAAAATCTAAAATTTAATTGAAAAATGAAAACTAAAAAGTAGAACCGAAAAATTAAAAAATTAAAAATCCAGAAATCGAAAAATTCCAAATGGAAAAATTGAATAATGGAAAACGGAAAAATGGAAAACGTAAGACATCGAAAAATTGGTAAAATGAAAAATCATAAAATCAAAACTGTTTTTTATTTTCTAATTTTTAATTTTTAAATTTTTCAGTTTTCTAGCTTTTCGATTTTCCAACTTTTCGATTTTTCTACTTTTCTATTTTCAACTTTTAAATTTCTTTCCATTTCACTTGAACAATTTTTCAATTTCATGATTTGTTGATGTCTCGATTTTCAATTTTTCGATGTTTCTATGTTACAATTTTATTTTCCAAAACAGACAGACGAAAACGTGGGACCTACTTTTTCGTACTCTAGGGACCATGAAACATTCAGAAAACATGAAAGTAGCCATTCGTCATAAACATGGATGACTTAAAAACATAGCAAGAGAATCTTCAAATTTATAATGAATAAAATATAAATGGAATGTGATAAATCAAAAATAAGAAAATATCTCTAATAAATACTCTGTCGAAATATCTCTGGGTTTTAGTTCCACATGGCAAGAAATTTTTGGTTTAGAGTGAACTACGGAAATATTTTGTTTTCGTATTTTAATAATTTCAACCACATTTTGAAAATTTTTTCACCACTAGTTACATTTTTTTGTTTTGTTTTTACTTCTTATAATATCTGGGTAATGATTCTTTTCATGTTTTCTCGACGTTCTATAACCCCTACAGTATGCAAAAATAGGTCTCTCATTTCCGCCTGTCTGTCGTCTGTGACGATTTTTGGTAGACAAATGATCTCCGAAACTAATGGACTGATTGTTGTCAAATTTTACAGGAATTTTAGACACGTCGTGTAGATGATAAAACAATAACCAAAATAAAATGTATACATTGTTTATAAACATAAATAATCTGGAACTAATTAGTCAGACCGATGTAATTTTTTAAAAAGTGATGAAATTTTTCCTTATTTACATTTAAAACTTATCAGTTATATTTGTATACATACCACTCCACAGGCTTGTTTAAATACACAAAGATAACTTGTAAGTTTATTGATATGGAAAAATAAAAAAAAAGACTAGAATCGGTGTCCAAATTTACTTAATTCTCGACAATAATCATAAACAACAAAATCCAGAGGCGCCGATTTTTTAATCTTCTGTGGGTGCTCACCTAGAGTATTTACAAGGCTAAACTCTAGTTGGGTTACATTTTTTGTGAAAAAATTTTGAAAACTTAAAGAAGCATTTTGTTAACTATTTTCAAAATCCATCTACACATGTTTCCTTTCTCCGAAAAGCGCCGACTCTAAATCGTCTTTTTTGCAAACCGGGAGTAAAAAACCGGTCTCACACGCCACAACCAAGTTGTTTTCCGATTATTCACCGCTTGTTTGCGGTTCTTTGTTAACTTCCTCGGAAATTAACACCAATAAAGTCGAAAATTCCCCGCTACCTAAACAACTCAATGCACAATTTTTCCTTCGCCTCTCACTCGCTTTTTTTGCTTACGCAGCTACGCATTACGACTCCAAGCCCTAGCTTGCAGAACAGGAAAAGGCCTTATGAAATCGCTCTGGACTTTGGACTTATGGTTTGATCCGAAGGTGTAGCCGCATAATTTCAAATAAGTGCCATTTTTTCCAAAGAAGCGATAAATCGCATTCACTTCCAGCGAGCGCTGGGTTAACCCATCCGTGACGTCACCGGGGATCCACGCCGGCCAGCCCAGACCACTTTCGCGGTAATCGGCGATAATGAGCGTCTTCGGACGCCACTGGACTCCTTATCTTCGACTTAGAGTTAAATCCGTCCGGATACGCTCCGATTAGATAAGTCGGAGTCTTCTCGAGGCGAAATTCAGTCGACGAAATTCAATTTTATCGAATATAATAGTGTTTGGTGCTGGCGAAGCCCGGTGAAGGGGTTCTGTGATCGATATCAGAGGTGGCCCCACTTCTCTTGTCACAGATTTAAAGGCCCGAGCCACCGTTGGATTGACTCTGTGAGTGCTTTGCAGTGATTCGTGCTGGTTGACTCCTGTTGCTTCGGCAGGATCAGTTATCGAGATGGAAGCTAATCAGTTCAAGGATTTCGCGAAGGAGATGATAGATTACGTTTCTGGCTATCTTGAGAATATAAGAGACAGGTGAGTAAAAGTGGTGTGACCTCGAGTTTAGCGGCGATTTGTTTATTTGGGTTTGCAATAGCATGACAAAAGAGGTTTCATTGTGGGCTTTGTTTCGTTATTGCCGAAGGATTGGGGGTCGTTTTGTTCGTGAATAGGATCGTAATCGGTGAAAATAAAAATACAAATTTCGTGGTGCTGCAAAATTCCCATAATTACTAGGAGTATTTATGAAGCAATTATTAGTATTGTAATTATTCTTTAATTCTTTTGTTATTACCTGTAGTTAATAATACTTACATTGAAAGAGATCATTCATTTTAAATTATAATTTTAGATAAATGGGTTTTTTACTTATAATAATCGATACACTTTCATGGTAACCTTAACAATTTTTATTGAACTTAGTAGTAATAATAATAATAATAAAGTAATACGTTTCGAGTTCATAACAATTAATTCGTAACGAGTTTAAAATTTGCATTAACAGTGAATTCTTCACGCTATTCTGTGCTTCATTAAATATGCATATAACGTTTTCTTTTATTTTGTAATTGTTCTTCTATCAGCTATTGAACTTTGCTGGCAAAATTTTATCTCATTTTGTGTTAGCCGATTTTATTTGTCACGGTTTTACATAAATTATGTGATGATAAATGGCAAAGCTTTTTAACAACGATAACCTTCTTATTTGACAGTGTTATCATTTTGTCTTAGAAATAAATACAATTCAAAATGTTGTCTTAGGTTTATCTGTAATAGTTTTTCAATAACAAAATTTCGATTGGATGTAGAATGTCGATTTTTTCCAAAAATTTGAACGCTGAGGGTGGTACAAAGTCAACACAAAAAATTGATTTTCAAGCCGAAATTTTTTTTTAATCACAACGAAATTTATAAGCCAGAATTTTTTGTGTTTTTAAATATATTTTTTAAAAACAAAATTTTTCTATCCTACCCCTATAAAAATTTCGGCCGATTTTAGACAATTTTTGAAATTTAACGAAATATATTTTCTTGTGGATTTCGATTTCTAGTCTTTATACCTGGATTTTATGTTATTTTTGCAAGTTTTCCAAATTCTAAATTTTCCAATTCTTCACAAAATATTTCGGCTTCCAGAAGTTAGTTTCACTTCTTTGATAGCTCCTTACATTTTTCCAAAATCGCTTCCTAAAATATTCTATAAATTTTTTTGGATTTTGAAAAAATTAATTTTCAGACCGAAAATTTTAAATCTTACCTCGAGAGACTGAATACGTTATGGTTTTGGATTCAGCACGACGAAATCTACATATCAGAATTTTTTGTTTTTTTTTTGGCAAATTTTTCAAAATGAAAATTTTTCAATTTTCCAAAAAATATTTCGCCCAATTTTCGAATATTGTTAAAATCCAACCAAAGACATTTGCTTATGAATTTCGACTTCCAGAAGTTAAATTTGTCCTCAGTTCTTCGATAGCTCCTTCCATTTTTCCAGAATGGCTTCCTAAAATATTGCAATTTTTTGGATTTTGAAAAAATTGATTTTCAGACCGAAGATTTTAATAAATCTCACACCGAGAAAATAAATACGTTATAATTTTGGATTCAGCACGACGAAATCTACATGCCAGAATTTTTTGGGTTTTTTGGCAAATTTTTCAAAATAAAAATTTTTCAGAATTTTCAAAAAATATTTCCATAAATTTTTGACAATTACCAAAATCTAACCAAAAACATTTTCTTATACATCTCGACTTCCAGAAGTTGGATTTGGCCTCATTTCTTCGATAGAATCTTCCATTTTTCCGGAATCGCTTCTTAAAATATTGCAATTTTTATCGATTTTGAAAAAATTAATTTTAAATCTTATCTCGAGATCCTGAATACGTTATGGTGTTGGATTCAGCACGACGAAATCTACATATCAGAATTTTTTGTTTTTTTTTGGCAAATTTTTCAAAATGAAAATTTTTCAATTTTCCGAAAAATATTTCCCCCAATTTTCGACAATTGTTAAAATCCAACCAAAGACATTTTCTTATGAATTTCGATTTCCAGAAGTTAAATTTGTCCTCAGTTCTTCGATAGCTCCTTCCATTTTTCCGGAATCCCTTCCTAAAATATTGCAATTTTTTGGATTTTGAAAAAATTGATTTTCAGGCCGAAGATTTTAATAAACCTCACACCGAGATAATAAATACGTTGTAATTTTGGATTCAGCACGACGAACTCTACATGCCAGAATTTTTTGGGTTTTTTGGCCAATTTTTCAAAATGAAAATTTTTCAGATTTTTCAAAAAATGTTTCCGCCAATTTTTGACAATTATCAAAATCTAACCAAAAACATTTTCTTATACATCTCGACTTCCAGAAGTTAGTTTTGTTCTCATTTCTTCGATAGAATCTTCCAAAAAAATTTTAAATCTCACCCGGAGAGCATAAATACGTTATGGATTTGGATTCAGCATGACGAAATCTACATGTCAGAATTTTTTGCGCTTTTTTTGGCAAATTTTTCAAAATGAAAATTTATCAATTTTTCAAAAAGTCGAAATCTAACCAAAGACATTTTCTTATGGATTTCATCTTCCAGAAGTTAGTTTCATCCTCATTTCTTCGATAGCTCCTTCCATTTTTGCAGAATCACTCTCTATAATATTACAATTTTTTGGATTTTGAAAAAAATTATTTTCACAGAGAAAATTTTTAATCTTACCCCGAGAGCTTAATATTATTATTTTGGATTCAACACGACGAAATTTACATGCTAGAATTTATTGTTTTTGTTTTTTTGGCAAATTTTTCATAAACAAAATTTTTCAATCCCTATAAACATTTCGTCCGATTTTCGACAATTTTCGAAATTTAACTAGACATTTTGTTGTGAATTTCGACCTCGACAAGTTAGTTTTGGTCTCGTTTCTTAGATTTCTTCTAATTTTCCAGAATTATTCACTAAATTCCTGCATTTTTGGATTAAAAAAAAATATATATGTATTTTCAAACCGAAAATTATTATTAATCTTACTCTGAGAGTATAAACACGCTATGTTTTTGAAATCAGCACGACGAAATCAATATCCAGATTTTTTTGTTTTTTTTGGCAAATTTTTTACCATCAAAATTTTTCAAAATATTTCCTCATAAACATTTTGGTCGATTTTCTACAATTTTCGAAATTTAACTAATAACATTTTCTTATGGATTTCGACCTCCACAAGTTCGTTTCGGTTTCATTTCTTAGATAGCTCCTTATATTTTTCCAAAGTTATTCGCTAAAATCGTGCATTTTTTGGATTTAAAAAAATATATTTTCAAACTGAAAATATTTATTAATCTTACTCTGAATTCTGAAAGCATAACACGCTATATTTTTGGAATCAGCACAACAAAATCTACATGCCAGTTTTTTTAGGCTTTTTTTGGCAAATTTCTTGAAATCAAAATTTTTCAAAAACTTCCCAACACTGACGTTTCTATACATTTAGCAAACTTTGATACAATATAATTTTGAAACATTTTTTGTAATCCAGATTCAGGTGGAATCGGTAGTTTGGGTTGCCTATTATAAAATCATAAATCGGTCATCTTAGCTGAATAACCCTGTATTTAGAAATTTTGGCCAATTTTCTACAACTTTCGAAGTTTAACTAAAGACATTTTCTTATGGATTGTGACCTCCACAAGTTAGTTTCGGTTTCATTTCTTAGATAGCTCCTTCTATTTTTCCAAAAACATTCACTAAAGTTCTGTTTTTTTTTTTGGATTAAAAAAATATATTTTCAAATCGAAAATTTTTACTCTTGCTCTGAGAGCATCAACACGCTATGTTTGTGGAATCAGCATGACGAAATCTGCATGTCCGAAATTTTTTTGTTTTTTTTTGGAAAATTTCTTAAAATCAAATTTTTTTAAAGATGTCCCTATAAAAATTTCACCCAATTTTCAATAATTTTCGTAATTTAACTAAAGATAAATTTCTTTATGGATTTCGATCGCCAGAAATTAGTTTTGTCCTCATTCTTTGGATAGCTCCTTCCATTTTTTTGATTTAAAAAATATATTTTCAAACCGAAAATTTGTATTAATCTTATTCTGAGAACATAAAGACGCTATGTTTTTGCAATCACCACGACGAAATCTACATGCCGGATTTTTTTAAGCTTTTGTTAGCAAATTTTTTATGATCAATATTTTTCAAAAAATTCCAATAGGTATAATTAGAAATTTTGACAGATTTTCTTCAATTTTCGAAGTCTAACTAAAGACATTTTCTTATGGATTTCGACCTCCAGAAGTTTGTTTCGGTCTTATTTCTTAGATAGCTCCTTCTATTTTTCCAAAATTATTCACTAAAATCCTGTATTTTTTGGATTAAAAAAAATATATTTTCAATCCGAAAATTTTTAATCTTACTCTGGGAGCATTAACACGCTATATTTTTGGAATCAGCACGACGAAATCTACATGCCCGATTTTTTTTGTTCTTTTTTGGCAAATTTGTTGAAATCAAAATTTTTCAAAAAATTCCCATATTGTACAATTTTGGCCAATTTTCAACAATTTTCGTAATTTAACTAAAGATATATGGATTTCGACCGCCAGAAGTTAGTTTTGTCCTTATTTTTTCGATAGTTTCTTCCATTTTTCCAGAATTATTCACTAATATTATTAAAATTAGTTGTGACTCCATTCCTGCGATTGTTCCATTTTTCCAGAATTACTAGACTGTTGTAAAATTTTGGATTAAAAGAAAGAGAGTTTTAAACCGAAAATTTTTAGTCTTATCCCGGAGCATAAACAGGGTTATGTTTTTGAAATCAGCATGACGGAATCTATATGACAAAATTTTTTACCAAATTTTTTAAAATCAAAATTTTTCAAAAAATTTCCCTATAAAAATTTCGGCCAATTTTCAACAATTTTCGTAATTTCATCATACATTTTCTTATGTATTTCGACCTCCAGAAGTTGGTTTCGTCTTCATTTCTTGAATAGGTCCTTTCCAGAATTACTCACTAAAATATTATATTTTTGATTAAAAAAAAATTGTTTTCAAGCCAATTTTTTTATTATATTAGGTACCCCAAGAGAATAAACACGCTATGTTTTTGGAATCAGCATCATGAAATGTATATGCCAGAATTTTTTGTTTTTTGGGAAATTTTTCAAGATCAAAATTTTTCAGAAAACCTCCCTATAAAAATTTCGGTCAATTTGTAAGAATTTTCGTAAGACATTTTCTTGTTTATTTCGACCTTAGTTTCGTCCTCATTTCTTCGATAGGTACTTCTATTTTTCCAGAATCGTTCCGTAAAACATTGCAAATTTTTTGGATTTAAAAAAAATATATTTTCAAGTCGAAAATTTTTAATTTTATCCCCAGGGCATAAATAAGCTATGTTTTTGGAATCAGCACGACGAAATCTATGTCTCAGATTTTTTTATTTGGCAAATTTTTCAAAAATAAAATTTTTCAGTAATAATTTCGGACAATTTTCTACAATTTTCCAAACTTATGGATTTGGACCTCCAGAAGTTAGTTTCGGCCTCATTTCTTCTTCCATTTTTCCAGACTCGCTCATTAAAATATTACAATTTCGGGAATTATCTATCTAATAAAAATCGACACAGACAGATGACAGACGACAGACAGACGGAAAAATTAAAAAAATATGAAAATGTTAAGAATGAACCTTTAAAAATAAAAAAATATATATCACTGATTTTAACATCAACTATAAAAAATCCTGGTTGATCTAAGATTAGTAGCACAAAGTTTGAAAGTTTCTTCAAATTGTCAATTTGAAATTTAAAAATATAGAATTGCCATAAAATGTTCTTTTATTTTTTAGTGTAGATTACGCAGGTGTTCCAAAAAATATACCAAGCGATTTATTCTAATTAATTTAATCTACTTAATTAAACGTAGATATAAAATTATGTTTCATTTTTTAAAAAATACTTGTGATAGTGTATATGCGAGGCAGGTTCTTTGCAAATTTCCTCACAGATTTTTTTAAATATTTGCAGAAAATCGTTGGCAATATTTGTAAATACTTGGCTTAAAAAACTGAAAACGTTTCTACGGTTCAAACTAGTACCTAATCTAAAAAAATTGAAATAAAAAATTCAGTATCAGTAATACTTTTGTAATTAGACTTTGCTCGATTTTAAAGCAGAAAATAAATTCGAAAGTAGTTTTCAGAAGACGTTTCGCAAATTTTTATTTTTGCTTCTTCAGGGTGCCTGAGGTTATACAATCACAAAAAATATTACGAAAATCGACAGACAATTATTAGCTATTTTCAAGTGCAGAGCAAGTTTTATTAATTAACCCTTAACAATCCTTGGCATAATAACTAAGGCTCCGCAACGTCAACTAACTTCTGAATCAATTAACAAAAATATTAAGTGTGTTGGTACCCATATTTCAACTATTGAGAGCACCCGATAAGGTTAGAAAGGTTTTTATAAATACGTATTTGCAAGGCGATATTATTCAGATTTATAAAACCTTCAAGGATAAGTCGAGGATTCTATTTCAAAAACAAGCACAGATAATCAGACATTTTATTACAAAATACAACGTCAATTACAACATAATTTTATAGCACATAGACAAAAAGCGCAAGAATTTAAATCGCGTTTTTTAAACAGTTAGAAAGCCAAGATTATAAATTAATTAACACAATTCAAGATTTTTTGTTCAGAGCTTACTAAATCTGAAAAACGATTTTTAATTTATCATCCGACTCTTTGTTCCAGACGCGTCCTCCCCAGCGTGGAGCCCGGCTACCTCCGCCCCCTCATCCCGGACAGCGCCCCCCAAAAAGGCGACAAGTGGGAGGACGTGATGGCTGACATCGAGCGCGTCATCATGCCCGGAGTAATTACCCGGAACCGCTCCCCGACCACCACTAATCCGAACAATTGCAGGTGACACACTGGCATTCACCCAGATTCCACGCTTATTTTCCGACGGCCAATTCGTACCCGGCCATCGTCGCCGACATCCTCAGCGGAGCGATCGCATGCATCGGCTTCACTTGGGTAATTATCCTTGAGCCTTTTATCCTTTGGAAATCCGGAAATTCGCCTTCCAGATCGCTAGCCCTGCGTGCACAGAGCTCGAGGTCGTGATGCTGGATTGGCTGGGAAAGATGATTGGACTTCCTAAGGAGTTCCTCGCCTGCTCGGGGGGCAAGGGCGGCGGCGTGATCCAGGGCACCGCTAGTGAGGCCACTTTGGTGGCGCTGCTGGGGGCCAAGGCGCGGACGATTGCCGCGATTAAGAAAGAGAAGCCGGAATTGAACGATGCCGATATCGTTGCGAAATTGGTCGGATATACTTCGAGTGAGTTTTTGAACACTAAGGTGTCGGATGTTTTGCTTATGAGAAGTATAAACTTTTGCAGGCCAGAGCCACTCGTCGGTGGAGCGCGCGGGGCTGCTTGGGGGCATTAAATTGAGGGGTTTGCAGCCCGACGAGAAGAACAGTTTGAGAGGGGCGACTTTAGAGGCAGCCATCAAGGAAGACCGTGAAGCCGGCCTTATTCCATTTTACGTAAGTGTCATTACTCTCTCTCTCTCGTTAAAAATCAGTTTCTAATCGACCGGACCTTGACCATATTACAGTTTCTTGGTGGATATTTTATCGTATTTACACAAATGTTGCGAAATTGTTGCGTCATGGTGCAACCGGGTTGCACATTTCAGCGGTTTTGAACGATTTTTATTTGATGTAGGCAACCAGTTATACACGCATGGTTTGCAGAGGCGTTGAAATGTCCTGTAAAAACGAGAGAAATTGACTTAGGACGATAGTTTTTTTTCTTAACAATCCTTATTAGACATATTTTGTCCCTCTTATATTAAAATTTGATTTTCGGTTCTGTTTTCTTTGTAAAAAAAAGGTAAAAACATGCAAAAATGACGACATTTACATTGCTGTTACAACGTACACTTTTCTCTTGAAGTTCGGTATAACATATCCAGTTTTGTCAGATAATTGTAAGATTCGATTTAGAGACTTTTTTGCTGATAACGCACTAAAAAGATCCATCTGGCGAATGACTAATTTTGTTTTCTCGATGTTTCTCCATTTTATAACACATTTTTTGGTTTCTTTATTTCCTTGATTTTTTTTGTTGTTTTTTTTTTGATTTACAATTCTTTATTTATTCAATTTTTCAAATTTTCAGGCTTTCATTTTTCAATTCCATGATTTTCCACGTTTAAAATTTTTCAATTGCAGTTTTTGGGTTTCCAGTCTTCCAATTTTTCCGTTTCTTTAATTTTCAATATTTCGATTTTACAATACATATTTATTATTTTTTATTTTTTACTTTTTCGAATTTTAAGTTTTTCAATTTTTAATCTTTCGATTTTTCAAATTTTCGTTTCTTCAAATTTTCACGTTTGATTTTGACTTCTAAATTTTTCAATTTTTTGATTTGCAATTTTTTTATTTTACAATTTTTCGATATTACAGTTTCTCATTTTTCGATTTTTCACATTCTCAGTTTTTAATTTTTGTCATTTTCAGTTTTTCGTTTCCTCAATTTTTCAAGTTCTCGATTTTTATTTTTCATTTTCTCGATTTTTTTAATTTTCATTTTCTCGATTTTATGTCATAAATTTTCATTTTTTCAATTCCTTTATTTTTTGTTGTTTCTTTCGATTTTTCAATTTTTCGTTTCTTGGATTTTTCGAATTTTCAGTTTCTCAATTTTTCGTTTCCACAATTTTTCATGTTCCCGATTTTTATTTTTCAGTGTGGCGAATTTTTAATTTTTATTTTCTCGATTTATATCACAATTGTCCGTTTTTTCATTTCCTTTATTTTCTATGTTTTTTTTCGATTTTACAATTTTTCATTTGTTCAATTTTTGAAATTTTCAGGCTTTGAATTTTCAGTTCGTCCATTTTTCAATTTTTAAATTTTTCACTTTGCAGTTTTTGGATTTCCAGTCTTCTGATTTTCCAATTTTTTTAATTTTAAATATTTCTATTTCATAATACATGTTCCTTTTTGTTGATTTTTCACTTTTTCGATTCTTAAGATTTTTCAAGTTTTCATTTTGTAATTTTTCGTTTTTTATTTTTGATTTTTCAATTTTACAATTTGTCGACTTCCAAATTTTCCAATTTTTCAATATTACAATTTCTCATTTTCCCATTTTTCACATTCTCGATTTTTAATTGTGCCTTTTTTCAATTTTCCGTCCCCTCAATTTTTTAACTCGCCGATTTTTATTTTGCATTTTCCTGATTTTTTATTTTTCATTTTCTTGATTTTATATCACAATTTTTGTTTTTTCATTTCCTTAATTTTTGTTGTTTCTTTCGATTTTCCAATTTTTCGTTTGTTCAATTTTTCAAATTTTCAGGACGATCGATTCCAATTCGCCGATTTTCCAATTTTAAAATTTTTCAATTTGCAGTTTTTGGGTTTCCACCCCTTTTTTACTTTTTGGCATTTCAATTTTTCGTTAAACTTTAGATTTCTCAAATTTTCGACAGCTTTGTACTTCGATTTCTTAGTTTTTTTTTCAACATTTCGATGTTTTAATTTTTTTTTTTTTTAATTTTTCAATTTTTTTTTCTCGATTTATCGAATTCAGATGTTTGGATCTTTTGTTTGCTCAATTTCTCAATTTTTTTCTATTTTTCGATGTGTCGATTTTTGTATTTCTCGGTTTTCGATTTTCCAATTTTTCGATGTTTTGATTTTTCAGTTATTAGATTTTTAAATTTTTTTTAATTCTGGAGATTCGAATTGTCGATTTTTCAGTTTTTCGATTTTTAAGTTTTAGATTTTCGAATTTTTCTTTTTTGATTGTTTGATGTTTGGATTTCTCCATTTTTCAATTTTGCGATATTTCAATTGTTCAATGTTTTGAATTTTAGATTTTTCGATTTCTGGATTTTTTGATTTTCCAGTTCTTCAATATTTCTATTTTACAATTTTTAAAATTTTGACGTTGGTAAATTTTCAGTTTTCCGATTTTTCGATTTTTTTTTTTTATTTTACCGTTTCTCGAATTCGCAGTTTAGATTTCTCAGTTCTTCAATTCTTCAGTTTTTCGTTTTTTAAACTTTAGATTTTTCAATTTTCGACTGTTTTATACATATTTCGATTTGTGAATTTTTCGAGTTTTCAATTTTTTGAGAACTCGATTTATCGAGATTCGGATGTTTCGATGTTTTGATTGTCTAAGTTTTTGAATTTCGTCGATTTTTCAAATTTTCGTTTCTTCAAATTTTCATGTTTGATTTTCACTTTTGACATTTTTCAAGTTTTCATCATAAAGTTGTTCGATTTTTTATTTTTGATTTTTCAATTTTACAGTTCCTTGACTTCTAAATTTTTCAATTTTTCGATTTGCAATTTTTTAATTTTGCAATTTTTGCGATATTACGGTTTCTCTATTTTCGATTTTTCACATTCTCAGTTTTTAATTTTTGTCATTTTCAATTTTTCGTTTCCTCAATTTTTCAAGTCTCGATTTTTATTTTTCATTTTCCCGATTTTTTAATTTTCACTTTCTCGATTTTATGTCATTAATTTTCATTTTTTCAATTCCTTTATTTTTTGTTGTTTCTTTCGATAGTTCAATTTTTCGTTTCTTGGATTTTTCGAATTTTCAGTTTCTCAATTTTTCGTTTCCACAATTTTTCATGTTCCCGATTTTTATTTTTCAGTGTGGCGAATTTTTAATTTTTATTTTCTCGATTTATATCACAATTGTCCGTTTCTTCATTTCCTTTATTTTAGTTTTTGGATTTCCATTCTTCCGATTTTCCAATTTCTTTAATTTTAAATATTTCTATTTCATAATACATATTTCTTTTTTTTTTATTTTTCACTTTTTCGATTCTTAAGATTTTTCAAGTTTTCATTTTGTAATTTTTCGTTTTTTATTTTTGATTTTTCAATTTTACAATTTCTCGACTTCCAAAGTTTTCGATTTTTCGTTCCTTCAATTTTTCGGTTTGCATCAGTTTTTCAATTTGGCAATTTTTCATTTTTCCCTTTTCCAATTTTTTGTTTCCGATTTTTATTTTTCATTTTCCCGATTTTTTAATTTTCACTTTTTAGATTTTATATCACAATTTTCCTTTTTTTGATTTCCTTTATTTTTTGTTGTTTCTTTCGATTTTACAATTTTTCTTTTATTAAATTTTTCAAATTTTCAAGTTTTTAGCAATTTTTCTTCAAATTTTGAAGTTTGATTTTCACTTTGTACATTTTCTAAGTTTTTATTATAAACTTTTCCTTTTTTTTATTTTGATTTTTCAATTTTACAATTTGTCGACTTCCAAATTTTCCAATTTTTCAATATTACAATTTCTCAAATTTCCTTTTTTCACATTCTCGATTTTTAATTTTGTCGTTTTTCAATTTTCCGTCTGCTCAATTGTTCAACTCCCCGATTTTTATTTTGCATTTTCCTGATTTTTTATTTTTGATTTTCTCGATTTTATATCACGATTTTTTGTTTTTCACTTCCTTAATTTTTGTTGTTTCTTTCGATTTTCCAATTTTTCGTTTATTCAATTTTTCAAATTTTCAGGCCAATCGATTCTAATTCGTCCATTTTCCAATTTTTAAATTTTTGAGTTTGCAGTTTTTGGGTTTCCACCCCTTTTTTACTTTTTGAATTTTCAATTTTTCGTTAAACTTTAGATTTCTCAAATTTTTGACAGTTTTGTACTAATTTTTTTTCCAACTTTTTCAATTTTTTTTATTTCTCGATTTATCGAATTCAGATCTTTGGATGTTTTGATTGCTCGATTTCTCAATTTATCAATTTCTCAATTTTTTTCTATTCCTCGATGTTTCGATTTTTGGATTTCTCGGTTTTACGATTTTCCAATTTTTCGATGTTTCGATTTTTCAGTTATCCGATTTTTCAATTTTTCTAAAACTTTGAGTTTCGATTTCTCCATTTTTCAATTTTGCGATATTTCAATTGTTCAATGTTTTAAATTTTAGATTTTTCGATTTCTGAATTTTTTGATTTTCCAGCTCTTCAGTATTCCTATTTTACAATTTTTCAAATTTTGACGTTGCTAAATTTTCAGTTTTCCGATTTTTCGATTAATCTATTTTTTGGTTTTCCCATTTTCGACTTGCGAAGGTTTCGATTTTTCAGTTTTTCAGTTCCTCAATTTTTCGATTTTTCAGGCTCCAGATTTTTCAATTTTTCGATTCTTTAGGTTTGCAGTTTTTCGGATTTTCGATTTCCCAATTTTTCAGTTTTTTAATTTCCCAATTTTTGGATATTTCGTTCAATTTTGTGAATTTTCTTAGTTTTTCTGAATGATACCACCTTAACTTACTTTTCCAGGTTGTGGCCACCCTCGGCACCACCTCCTCGTGCACCTTCGACAACCTCCAAGAAATCGGCCCCGTCTGCAACGACAACTCCGTCTGGCTCCACGTGGACGCCGCCTACGCCGGCTCCGCCTTCATCTGCCCCGAGTTCCGCTACCTCATGACCGGCATCGAGCGCGCCGACTCCTTCAACTTCAACCCCCACAAGTGGCTCCTGGTCAACTTCGACTGCTCCACCATGTGGCTCAAGGAGCCCAACTGGCTCGTGGACGCCTTCAACGTGGACCCCCTCTACCTGAAGCACGAGCAGCAAGGCGCCGCCCCCGACTACCGCCACTGGCAGATCCCCCTCGGACGCCGATTCCGCGCTCTGAAGCTGTGGTTCGTGCTCAGACTCTACGGAATCGAGAACCTGCAAACCCACATCCGGAAACACGTGGAGCTGGCCCACTACTTCGAGTCGCTGGTGGTGTCCGACGAGAGGTTCGAAATCACCGAAGAGGTCGTCTTGGGGCTGGTTTGCTTCAGGTTGAAGGCGTCCAACGAGGTGAACGAGGCGCTGTTGAAGAGGTTGAACGGCAGAGGGGTGATCCACCTGGTGCCGTCGAAGATCAGGGATGTTTATTTTTTGAGGTTGGCGATCTGCTCGAGGTATACGGAGAAGGAGGATATTGATGTGTCGTGGAAGGAGGTGAAGGAGGCGGCTGATGAGGTTTTGAAGAAGTGAAGGGCTGGAAATTAGGGCGTTAGGGCGTAGTGTGTGTATAAAGTATTTATTTTAGTTGTTATTTAAGGTATTTGTTGTTGACATGAAAGACCAAAAAGACATGGACCAAGATTTACCAAAAATAAAGATTAAGCAGCAGAGTTTTTGTTTTATTACTACTCATGAGTACCAAAAAATAGTAAAATTCCATTCTACATTATTTATTTATTTATTTATTTATTTATTTATTAATCATGTTACGGATTACTCCAATTTACACAGATAAACTAAATAAATGTACAAAAAGACAGAAACATATAAGCACTTATATCTAACTTATATCTAACCTAACACTGACTTAGACATAACTCATGAGCAAAATTAACGGCAATTATTGTTAAGAATAGAAAGGAATTCACGTCTGAATATATGTTTTGAATTCTGGAAAAGATCAAACTTTTCTATGGATGCAAATTTGTTTCCAAGTTCCATTAGTCTATTAATTGGATTATTAAAAGCAAAATTTGTTTTTAACGAAGAATGGACTCTAAAAATGTTTACACTGCGTGTGTTACAAACCGAAGGATCGGGAACATAGAAATCCAATTGTGATAATATTTTAGGGCTAACAATATGAGCATTTATGATACCATGTAAAAGGCAACCATCCGACAGTATCCTCCTTGTATGCAAAGAAGGCAGGTTTATGAAATTGGTGATGATCTCGTATTGGCCTTTATGGTGGGGCCAATGCATTCGGAACTCCAAACATCTAAGAAACTTCTTTTGAATTCTTTCCAAATAATCATTATCCGTCTTATAAAAGGGAAACCATATTGGTGAACAATATTCCAAATGCGAACGTACGAGGGAACAGTAAAGTGTCTTTAAAGAGAATGTAGATAACATGTGACAGTAACATGGCCATACAAAACCCAACATGTTCATTGACTTTTTGAAAATATAATCGTAATGAGATTTAAAAGACAATTTTGAATCAAACACCACACCGAGGTCTTTTATTTCATTTACTACCTTCAAGACACTGTCATTTATTCTATAGGTATGTTGGTATAAATTTTTTACTTTACAGAATGTTATAACATAATATTTATCAGTATTTAAAAACAATTGATTCCGATTACACCAGTTATATACGCTATTTAAATCAGATTGTAATTCCAACGCATCCTGAGGAGATTTAATAAGTTTAAAAATTTTCAAGTAATCAGCGTAAAGTAAAAAATTAGAATATTTGAAACAAAATTGTAGATCATTGACAAACAGCAAAAATAATATTGGACCACAGTGTGATTCCTGAGGTACACCAGAAGTAACTTCAAAACTGCGGGATATAAAATTGCCAATTCTAATTTGTTGACGTCTGCCCGATAAAAACGAAAACAACCAATCTACAGTGGAACTGTTAAACCCTAGTTGACTCAGTTTAGAGATCAGAATGTGATGACTGACCCTATCAAAGGCTTTTGCAAAGTCGGTGTAAATGGAATCCACTTGAGACCTTACTTGAAATGAATTATTAAGAAACACGTAGTAAGACAATAAGTTTGTAAGAGAAGATTTACCTTTACAAAACCCATGTTGATGAGTAGATAAAATCGAAGAAGAAGACCACTGTAGTTGTTTCGCAATAATGTAATCTAAAATTTTGGGGATTACTGATTGGTTGCTCACCCCTCTATAGTTTTCTACTTTGGTTCGTGCTCCCGATTTAAAAATCGGAGACACATAAGTACACTTCCAAACATCAGGAACTTTGGATTCCATAAGGGATGATTCAAACAATAGAAACAGTGGAACAGCCAAAGTACAAATGCATTTTTTTATAAGCATACTTGGAACACTGTCGGGGCCACAGGAATAAGAAGATTTAAGATTGCTAATATTTTGAAAAACATCCAATAATGTTACCTTTAATCCACTATCAAAGACTTTTAAATTAGGTGAATTATTATTTTGTAAATTTGTTGTGGGATCAGTAACATAGACTGTAGAAAAATATTCCGCAAACAGATTGGAAATATCTGCTCCATTGTCCGCTTTCTTATCTTTTAATGACATGTAATTAGGAATCCCATTATCCTTGTTCTTATTACGAGTATATTTCCAAAAATAATTTGGGTTAGATGTAACACTAACATCAACTTGGGCAATGTACAAAGAATATAAATTTTCATTAAGGGTCTTACAGCGAGATCGAATCGACTTGAAGTTAAGATAATCTACTAATTTGCCACACAATTTATATTTAAAATGAGCGAGCCTTTTCTGATAGCACAAATTTTTAAGATCCCTGTTAAACCATATCGGATAAGAACTCCCAGATTTAATCGTTTTCTTTGGAATATAGTAATTAATGCCTGTAAACAAAATGTCATAGAATATCGAGACTTTAGTATCAACATTTTTATTACTGAAACAAGACGTCCAGTCCACAGATGCCAAAAAATTATTAAGTGAGTGATAATCTCCATTACCAAAATCAAAAACATACTTCTCCAAGAGTAAGGGAGCATCTGCTATACAAGATACAGACCACATATAAGGAATATGATGAAAATTTACATTCGATAACAGATCCATAGCTTCGTTAATTTCTATATCCTTAATATTAGAAAAAATTAGATCAAGAAAGACGCCTCTTTCATTTGGGATCATATTAATTTGGTTCATGTTTAAAAACGAATACAATCCACTGATTATATCAAAATTGCTCCTTGGCCCTGCACACGACATAAACATATTGTCATCAATCTTTATATTAGGTAAATTAAAATCCCCTGCAATAATATATTTGGACTCAGGGTATTTGTTAAAAATATTTTCTAAATCATCACAGTGGTTCTTATAAATAACTTTCGCAGAACCAGGAGGAATATAGACGCCTCCCACAATAAAGTTAAATTCCTAAAACTGAAGACGAAGGTAAATACTTTCTACTGATTGACCTATAAAGATAGTTGAGGAACATATATCTTTTTTTACAGCCACCAGTACACCACCACCTCTAACTTTACCATTAACACTAAAACTACGATCAGTACGAAATATGTTAAAATTAGATAAACCTAGTTCTACATCGGAAACTTCATGTGTCAACCAAGATTCTATTATTATAATAACATCGTAAACACTCGTATTAACTCTATTTGAAAAATCATGAATCTTAGTATTTAAACCCCCAACATTGTGAAAATAAAAATGTATTCGTTTTTTGCTTGACTTCTGCCTTCATTCCTCCGTGTAATCAATGCCATATTGTTCCTATAGGTCAGTGCAATGTCGTTCTCTCCACGCGATTTTCTTTCCTTAAATTTCTCAATTATGGAAGAATTGGATTGTCTTTGCCGTGTAGTCAAATCCGGGCGAAAGTGATTTTGTTTATTGGGATTTTTAACGTTAGATTTTAGTATACTCTTGCCTCATCATTGTTCGAAAAAATCATCTTTAACGGACGTACCGCATTAGGTTTTGGAGGACCAATACGGAAAATTTTCTTTGGCTGTTGGAATGCCCCTAGAGGTTCCAAAATGGACGAAACATGAGTTAAATCGTCAATTACGCGTTCGTCTGCAGATTTAGCCAGTGACTCAGGGACATTGTATAAGAGAACATTCTTACTACGGTCATTTCGGTCACAAATCTCCAACACTACATCATTAATATCATAAGAGTCAGTCTTATTGGTAGAGGAAGTCTTAAGATGAATAATTTCAGATTGTATTTTTCGAACATTATCTTCAACATCAGAAATTCTGTTACTAATTTGCAATAATTTTTCATCAAATTTGTGAGAAAATTCTAATTTCAAGTCCTCCTTTAATTTGCTGAATTGATTTTCAAACAGCTTCTCGATTGTCGCAAGATTTATTGGAGTATCAGAGGCCGGAGAAATTGAAGAACACTTTTGACACACCCACTGAACGTTGGTAGATATATTTGGGACGGTCACTGTGGAACACCTAACATGAACATGTTTTTTGCAATTTGAACATTTGATCGATGGTGTGGAAGGTGTAACAGCAGATTCGCAGATCAAACAATAAAACGTCATTACTGATATTTTAATGAAAGGGAATTAAAACGAGGACACAGCTTTTCACACCAACAGGGCCCTTTGTTGGTGACTACAGTAAAAACAAACAGAGTAGGCCTCGGACAGGATACAGGAAAATGAACATGAGGTGAATGACACTTGTTAGTCGAAAGAAAAAGAAGAGCATCAAAAAAGAACAAAAAAAAGCACTCACTGATATGATAAGAATAAACTTTGCGTACACCTTGATTTAAGTTATACAAAAACTTCAAAAGGACACCAATCCTCAGTATGCAAATTACGGAACTACACGATTGCACGACAGTCTAACTGTATTCCAAAATTCAATAAAATACACTTAAAAAAAACACAAATTTAACTTAAACTGAGTAAGACACTTGCCACAACGAACGCAACGGTTTTACAACACAGCGAGTTTTCGAATACTTGGCGACAATCGGCGCCGAAATCAATCGCGCTGAAAAAAACGGTGTGACCGTAGTGTACGTATATTTCGTTTGCATAAATATTTACAGCAGAAGGTTACTAAGACATTGACCAGTTACTGGAAACACCCATACGTCCATTACTGGTGGCTCGGCGGCGGCCCTCCATACTTTTTCGTCAACTGTATCACCCTTTCCGCCTCCCTGATCCCACTCAACCTTGCCCCATGTACCGTCGAGTGGTGTCCCGCACACGTCGCTTCCCCCGCGAATAACAAAATCGGGGGCACTGGTTCACACGTCCCCGGAACGGGACAACTCAAATCGCACTGGTGTCCCACATGGGAGTTCAGACTCATGTAGCTGTACGAGCCACAGAAAAACGGATCCGTGGCCCATTTCGACCTCAACACCATCGAGGGATAGGGTAGTGACGCGTCCCCTGTGAATTGCCGGAGCACTCTAGTGATGGCCTCGGCGACCTCCTCGTCACTAGCGTGCTCCATGATCGCCGCCTCCGGGCCCGAGATGTACGCACACAGCACGTGCTTGCTCCCGAAGACCTCTTCAATGGCACTCAGTCCCTTGGTCCAGTCCGTCCGGTTAGCCAGTTCATCCGGGGACCAGGCGAAGTTAATCCCGCCTTCGCACCACACCCAGAACGGACGGTCGTAATCCAGGAAGATCTTGTCCACGTTCCCGTAGCCGAGACAGTTGATGGCTTCCACTTTACTGGCCGGGAGCGTGGGACAGAACATCTTGTCGGCGTGCTCCTTGAGCACCCCTAGGGATACCGTGAGGATGACGTAGTCGGCTGAGAACTCCTGGCCGTCGCAGCACTGTACCACGGCTCTAGGACTCTCCTTGTTGCGGGTCTGGACGGCACCCCAGCGGATGTTCCCCACGGGCTTATTAAACATTATGCTTTGTTCAGGAAGATCACGCATCAGTGGGGACAACACCCCAATGAAGCCCAACGGAATCCGGATTTGGCCGCCCGGTATCTGGATGAAGCTCCCGTAGTTGTCTGCGCTGACTTGACTTAAGTCTTCGCCACACCTGATAACTCAAACATTGTTACTTATTTAATCGCGAACGTTGAAAAAACGTCTCACTTTGCCCTAACTCCGTTAGTCAACCCATACATGATCCTCGCCGCGTCATATCTTTGGTCTTCCGGGAAGTTCTGCAACTCCTGTTGTATCCTTAAACCTACCTAAAGCGTTAAACCCGACGGGTAACCACCATCTCACCTATAAAATTTAGTAAAGACCCATGATTTTTTCCAGTGCCCATGCTAAAAAGACTGATCGCTTCGCTCTCGATCTGCTTGAAAGTTTGATAGGCCAAAACCGAGACTGGGTGGTCGATGGCGCGACCGTCGCTGGTACAGAAAACCCCATTCAAGGGTCTGGCGCGTTGCAGGGGCGGCATGAGGAGACCTTCTTGGGCGGCTAAGTTGTAGACCGGGTTGCCGATGCAGCCGCCCTCTATGAACTGGGCGCCCATTTCGGCGATCACGTCGCCGAGCCAGCAGGAATGGATCCTGCCGCCGGGTCTGCAGAAACCGGGATTTATAATCAATCACTGAAAACCGTCCTGATCACCTTTCAGTGGCTTCCAGAACCTTGAAATTGGTGATCCCGCACTGCGCTAGTCTTTGTGCGGCCGACAGTCCTGCGATTCCTGCCCCGATGATGACGACAGCGGGCTCGGGCTTGCAGGGATCGACCATGCAGTCGGCGATTGTGCACACTTCGAAGTCCGCCGGTTTCGTCGGCTTTTGGCTGTCGGTTTTTTCGCCGGATTTTCCGTGGCAGCAGCGGGTCAGGACCCATAGGATTTGTCTGCGGAAGAAGGCACCGGTAGTAAACGTTAGTCGGCGCTCGGGTGCTTTACCTAGCTTTTTTGGGTACGTTGGATTTCAGTGATAGCGACGGTTTTGCCAACATTTTGTTAAGAACTGGAAATTTTTGACAAATTTGACTTAGAACATGGGTTTTTGACAGCGACTAGATCCGGAGAAGCGGAGTTGGGTCTGTCAGTTGCGGCGAGGTTGGACTTTGTTAAGCGGGCTCTGTTTGGGTTTGTTGTTGGAATACCTTGACATTCAAGCAGGGAAAACCGAGAGTTTGTTTGTAAATAAATCGCCGTAAATGGCGACTGCACAAATAAACATTGGTTGAATTAGTAATGCTTGTGGAGGACGAAGTAAACGATTAATAGCTTAATAATAATAATAATAATTTATTAACGGAAACATAATGGCACAAGCATAATAAAAAATAATAATAAATTTTACTTAACACTTATAATTATTATATTCATTAGAAAATACTAAATTAAAAACTTTACTATTTCAAAAATAATCTTAAATTCTTCTTAAACACTTGTTTTGAACTATCAAATAAATTAAATGTTTCATGCTTACAAAGATCATTTACAACTAACATCATTCTCCTCAAGGGGTGATTACGAGCTAAATTTGTGGCGAACGAACTAATTCTAAAAATTTGCTTGCTCCTAGTGTTTCTAATTTCCGGAGGGCTAATAAGGAAGGATAATTTCTCCAGAATGGCGCTATTATCAATGGAACTATTGGTGACCCCACGAAGAAATGTTAAATCACTTGTTACTCTACGTGTATGTAAAGTTTGCATGTTGAGGAAAGTAAGAATATTTGAGTATTCTCCTTTCTGATGTTGCTGTCCAAGTTTAAACTCCATACATCTTAAAAACTTCTTTTGGGCTTTTTCGAGAGCAGCAGCATCGACATCGTATATTGGATACCAAACGGATGAAGCATATTCTAAACTAGCTGACCCCGTGAACTTCGTTTCACCTACAATTTAATTTTGAATCTGCAAAATCGAATGCTTTGAAATCTTGCAAATGTTTTAAACATATGATAAGCATAATAAATTTTTATTCAAAATATATTTACTTATCCCCTCCAAAAAATTGATGACGTCAGCCCAAAATTTTGCCAAATGAATCCTATCTAAAATGTCCAAAATAGGATGAGACTATACTTGTGATTTATCATTCCATTCATATTTTTTAGTTTTTCTTTTAGGAGGTGTCTCAAAAAAATTAATCACCGAGTCAGTTTATTTTATTGATTGAATCAAGAATTGCAAAACTAAATTTTGAAATATTGCAGAGGTTTTGAAGTTACTGTTTGACATGGTAGGTTTTCAATCAAAATATATCTGTTTATCAAGCCCAAAAACTTGAAGACGTCATCTCAAGATTTTGCCGAATAAATCCTATCTAAAATGTGGAAAATATCATCAGTATATTTTCGTAATTTATCACTGCATTCATATTTTTTAGATTTGCTTTTACAGTGACTCAAAAAAATATATGGATCAGTCAATTTATTTTAGTGAATAACTCAAGAGTTGCAAAAATGAATACTTTGAGATCTTGCAGACGTTTTAAAGTTATTGTAAGCATAGTAAATTGTTAAGAATATTTATTTATTGCCCCAAAAAATTGATGGAATGGCTCACTCGATTTTCGCAGATAATTTTGGGAATACAATACAGTTATTTTTAGTATTACACTGCACCAATCCAAGGTGGTATACGTGTTGATCGTAAATGTTGATTAGGTCATCACAAAATTGTGTGAAGAAAAGACGCAATTCGAAAATGCTGAATATGTTTCATTATACTTTTGGTGCGAAGGAAGTTCTGTCGAAACAACGTTCGATCAATTTTTTGACAATGGTTGATATAAATAAAACTCAGTAGATGCTCATACTCGAAATACGAAGTATCTATTCGAATATCAAATCAAAATATTTCTAGTTTTTCTAGATGATATTAATACTTCAGTAGGTAACAGTTGATGCTTAAGTAGCATCTCGATACAACAAAAAAGGACAACAGTGACAGTGTTCAACCATCAAAGCAAAAATCGAGTCACCAAAATATAACTTAGTATGGGGTAGACACCTTGAGATGGGAATCTCTATGGCCAGTGTTATAAAAAACGCACTGCACAATTTATGCATAAGTAAAAGTTAATTACCTGAAAAGTTTTCGATATTCCTGCTCCTAATGTGTTTTTCAAACTGAATTTTGACGACGTTCCACGTTCATGAAAGTCGCCATGTTTAGTTAAAATTCACTCTTACAACGATCCTACTCGTTTTCTAAGCTGCTTTACAGACAACTCAGTTATTTGCCACGCCGATCCTCATTTTTAGATTAAATGCTCACAAAACGCGTAGATGTTCAATTTAGGTACTCAGATCATAGAGTAGATGCTCAGGTATATACCTAAGAGTAATAATCAAGTAGGTACTTCGTACTTCGAATATTAGTTTCTACTCAGTTTTATTCATACCACCCAATGTCTCGCTTCAATGTTTGATTATGTTGATTATGAGCACAACGCTGATCAACTTCCATATCCGAATTACCCATGAAATAAATCATTGCGGTTTGCACCTGAGGTAGTTCGTCCCACATTTGATTGACTTCGTGGACCTATGTGAGGTTGTCGTCTTCTCAGCATTTTAATGAACTTCATAAAACGACACAGAATTATTTTCACAGTCAATCAAATCTGTAAATTTTGTCTTGAGAATTTTAAAATATTGAAAACTTCAAATTAAATCCTCGAATAACGGTAAAGTTTGAGGTTTTGTCGAAACCAACAAAGTGAATATAGGTAAATAGAATGGCAGATCAAAATTAATAAGAAACTTTCGCAATGTGTAATTAAATTCACTTTAACCAAGACTTTTCTTAAAATAAACGACGTCTTTTTTTACGAAAAACAAAGAACGACTAGAAATGTAATATACTTTTCACAATTGCACGGAAGAATTAGTTTTGTATGACACGTCAGTTAGACGACAGGTCCGTCAGAAACGCCAACTATTGAAATTAATTCGAAGTGGCGATTCCCATACAAAATTTTTAGAATTTTTTTATTTTTTGACTGTTCCTTTAAGTTTTCCTTATTTTTTTATTTATAAACCATCCCCGTAATATAAAAAATTTTTCAAATCGGTCAAGCCGTTTTTGAGTCTTAGCGAGACTAACAGGAACAGCAATTGATTTTTATTATATAGACGGTAAAGAAATGGGGGTTGGTAGTAGAAAGGTGAAAATTTAGGGTTATGTGTATTTTTTGATGCTAATTCTTAAAAAAATAAAAATAAAAAATTTTGTCCAAAAAATAGACAAAAATTTTTTAGGGTGGGCCACCCTTATCACTTAGGGGTTTAAAAAATAGTTTACAACCTATTCTCAGAGCTACCAAATATACGTAAAAAATTTCATACAAATCAGTCAACCCATTTCGGAGAAGTTCGGTTACAAACACTGTGATGCGAGAATTTTATACATAATGCATTATTATTTTAGAACAAATTTCATTACCATAAAAAAGGTTATACTGACTCGACCTTAAAAGATAGGCATATGCTGTCGCGGACTTTTCTTTAGAACTTTTAGAGGGGAACAATTTCGTCATACATGATTTTTACGTAACTTTAACCGTTTAAGCAGCGTAAGCAACGGAAGCTGTCAAAGGAGGAATAATTTTCCCGTTTTTCCGAATTTTTCATTGCTACTTCGCTCCTAATGATCGTAGCATGATGTTATATAGCCTATATGTAGATATGATACATAGACTATCCAACACAAAAAGATTTTTGAATTTGAACCAGTAGTTTCTGAGATATGCGTGTTCAAATAAACAAAAGCTTCAGCTTTATTATATAAGTATAGAAGTATAGATGAGGTCGAACTAAGGAGCAATAGACGATCTTCAATACAGCAGGAGATAAATCTTTACAGTTTCTCCATAAAAATCCCCACAGTTTGAAAGCTTTGGTTATAACAGTAAGGTAATGATTCTTGAAAGATAATGACGAGTCGAATAATACACCAAGATCTTTAACTTCATTAACATGATCGATAACAGCTTTATCCAGTACATAATCGAAATGTATTATAGTCTTCTTATTACAAAATGTGTAGTATTTAAATGCAATTCATTACGTGTACACCATAAACAAAATGCATCCAAATCAGATTGAACAAGAAATGTGTCTTGAATAGATCTAATGCAACTAAAAAGTTTTAAATCGTCAGCAAAAATAGAAAATTACAATGATGAAATACTTGCGATAGGTCATTTATAAATAACCAAAACAAAAGGGGACCACAGTGCGAACCTTGTGGCACTCCTGACGTTAGGGGAAAGGTGCCTAAAATGATCCCCCTAAGGGAGAAATTCTTTAAAAAATACAAATTATTATTATTCATGTAAAACTGTAGCATTATTTGTAAGAACATTGATTTATCTAGGTAACAGTATAAGCCAATTGGTGATTCGATAATTATAAAAAAAGTTATTAAGGTTTTTCCAGGACCTTACAAAAGGATCATTTTAGGCATCCCCATAGGTAAAATGATCCCTCGGCATGGGCATAATGATCCCTTTGAATTTTGACCATAAGGGGACAGCATCAACAAGAAAAATCAAATCATGACATAACTGATAAATATTTTATTTCAAAAATTAACAAAAAAATAAATTCTTAAAAAAAAATGAACAAAAAAAGTTTGAAAAGCACCGAAAATACGGGGTGTATAATTTCTGGAAGAGTTTGAGACAATACTTTAGTCATCAGTACGTGCTAAGATAAGACTAATTTTGCCAAATGGGATACCCTCCAAGAAAAGAGAGGGCGGGTGGGCGGGCCTACTACCTGCTAAGATAAAACTGAATTTGGCAAATGATATACCCTCTAAGAAAAGAGAGGGTGGGTGGCTGGGGCTAGTAACTGCTAGGATAAGACTGAATTTGGCAAATGACATACACTCTAAGAAAAAAGAGGGTGGGTGGGTGGGGTTAGTAAGTGCTAAGATAAGACTGAATTTGGCAAATGATATAGCCTTTAAAAAAAGAGGGGGCGGGTGGGCGGGTCTACTAACTGCTAAGATAAAACTGAATTTGGCAAATGATATACCCTCTAAGAAAAGAGAGGGTAGAGTGGGTGGGGCTAATACTTGCTAATATAAAACTGATTTTGGCAAATGAGATACCCTTTGAGAAAAGTGACGGCGGGTGACTGGGATTAGTATCTCTTAAGACTGAGAATTTCCCAAAAATAGAACACGAAAATCCCTAAAATTCTTTTAAATTATTTAAATTTCCCCGTCTTAAGAGGTACTAGCTCCACTCACCCTCCCTCTCCTCTCTTAGAGGGTATTTCATTTGCGAAAATCAGTTTTATTTTAGCAGGTAGTAGGTGGGTGGGGCTAGTAACTGCTAAGATAAAACTGGTATTAGCAAATGGTATTCCCTCGAAGAAACTAAAGGGTGGGTGGGCGGTGTTAGAGAATATGTCATCTGCAAAAATCAGTCTTAACTTAGCAGGTAGTAGCCCCGCCCACCCACCCTCTCTTTTCTTGGAGGATATGTCATCTGCGAAAATCAGTCTTATCTTATTAGGTACTAGCCCTTTAACAAGACAAAAGGCGGATGGGCCGAGCTAGTGCTTGGCAAGATAAGGCTGATATTGGCAAATAACATACATTCTAAGAAAATAACGATCGGGTGGGTGGGGTTAATACTTGCTAAGATAAAACTGATATTGGCAAATGGTATTCCGTCAAAGAAAATAAAGAGTAGGTGGGCGGGGTTAGAGGATATGTTATCTGCAAAAATCAGTCTTATCTTAGCAGGTACTAGCCCCGCCCAATGATCCGGGATCATTTTGCCTAAAGAAAAAGGGATCATTTCGCCTTAGGTAGCATATCCGCATTCAAAAATTGTAAACTAACCTTCAATTTTTACATGCGGTAAAAAGATCATAACTAACCTACGACTGAAATGTATCTAATTCTGTCAAAACAACTACCACCGCTATAAGACCTTTCAAATGGAAGTAATGGACTTTTAAAATATATCTTACCTTAGATCAGAGGTGCTTATTTTACATATTTTGGCACAAAACTGTGCAGAATACACAGAACGCCATTAAATTTTCAGAAGGTACTAATTACAGAGCGCTTAATCAAATGACTGTTATGTTTGGTAGATGGAGCCACAAATTTTCTTACAATTGATGGGGATCATTTGACCTGAGGGGATCATTTTAGGCACTTTTCCCTACTTGAAAAGGCTCAGATAGAAAATTGCCTAACCTTACCTGTTGCCATCTATCACATAAAAACGATCTCAGCCAGATAATCGTTTCCCGTCTAAATCCCAAGAGGGCAGTTTTTATAATAAGATCCTCTGATTAACTTTATCGAATGCTTTCGAAAAATCGGTATATATTGCATCCACTTGACATCTATTCCCAAAGGATTCGTTAATATAAGAATAGTATTCAATTAAGTTGGTCAATGTTGATCTCTTAGGACGGAATCCATGTTGCTTTTCAGTCAAAATAGAAGAACTCATCCATGATAACTGTTTAGATACAATTAGATCAAAAATTTTTGGCAAGCTTGTACAGAATAGGAAAAATAAATAAAATAAAAACTCAACACGGATTCATGACCCACAAATACAGGAAGACGTTATTTTAGAAAATTTAAATAACACAATTTTACTACTGTGAAATTTTGAGATTACGTCATTTCATTGTTGCATCAGATTTATGCACGTTTTTACCACCCCTTTTTTCTCCTTCTTTGTGTGTTTACTCCCACACCTGCTCTTGTGCTCTTTTCTCCTAATCCCTCTCCATCCCAGATCGATTAATATTCGACATGATTCGGTCACTACACCCTCGACACCCACCGAGGCCGCCCGGGCTCGGCGCTATTTACCTGGTTAATTGAAAATCGGAAATTTCGATTAATTTCAAGTACATAAGCCAACACGTTCCTCTGCGAAAAGCAAATTTGGGACTAGGAGATTTCGCAGGAGACGGCCTGATTCCCGTCGACGGGGACAATAATTTGCTTGTAATGACATAGGTGTGACGTTGCATGGGGCGATTATCCCGATGAAAGGAATGGAGCGTAGTCCTTGGCAACGCAATCCGAATCATCATCGACCAGGGTGGGTCCTTCCCTCAATGAAATATCGCCTTACTCCTGCCTGCTCCTGCTGCAGAAGTGCAGTGGTGACGTAAGATGGGCGACAGGAGTGCTATTCTGACAACTACTCCAGGATTAATGCGAATTATGTTTAAAACAATTACTTAGACCAGAAAAATGACAAAACAATAATGTAAAATTAAAAATCACTTTATTGTTGAAATAAGAACAAAAACAAACATAAATCTTTACAATTTTGGAAAAAATACTTCCTCGTATTGCTAAATGCCCTCAGGTAAAATAATCACGCTTCAGTTTTATTTGCCATATTTTCCTTTTCCACTGCAAAAAACAAAATCAGCACCTTCCTGAAAAGCGTCTCATTCTTACTATCCAAAGCTTCCAGCAGAGGACTGCGAAGACGAACTGGCCCAGGCTCCGCCGCCACCACCACCGCCGCCGCCGCCTCCTGGGTATCCGCCGCCACCGCCTCCGGGGTACCCGCCGCCGCCGCCGCCACACACGTTACAGCCGCCGCCGCCGCCGCCCTTGCCGTAGCCTCCGGGCGACCTCTTCTCACGACTGTTGCCCTACGAGAACAAACATTTTTCTGCAAGCCCTTGTCACCCACGAACTTACCTTGACTTGGTCGACGTTGTTGGGGGCTAAGGACAGCAACAGCTTGCTGTTCTTGTAGGGGTTGTCGCTTGGTACCGTGTTGGTGATTTCGTCGTAGTCGCTGGGTGGCGGTTGTTGGTTTAGTAACTGGATCAAGTAAATCACACCGATGGGTCTTGGTCTGGTGGCTACAACCACTGGCGCTGGCTCGACTGGGTCATCTTCACAGACCACTGATGTCAGAGTGACCAGAAGGCCAATTGCTATAAGGCACTTCATGTTGGAACTGATCTACCAACTTCACCAACTCTACTTTTATAGGTGCTGAGTTTTTTTACTACTGGAGTGTTATTATGTAATTAAGGCGATAAAAACGGTTATTGAAGTCTTCAAAGCGGACAGAGACGGACTGGTTTGGACACTATTAACAAAAAAAGGAAGAAGCTTGGTGGACGTACCGATACCAAAAACTATTGTTTTGCGTATCGGATTTCGTGAACTGTTTGACCTGTCGATAAACCGGTCCACGGGATTTAAATTAGCGGAAGATTTAGTTTTGAAAATCTAGTGGTGGTTGCAGCAAGTACGGCCCTGTCCTATCTATCAATTAATTGTTCAATACCTCTTTACGATATTTGCAGTAAAAAATCTCCGTAATTCCCCTTGTTTGCAGTAGAATGTACAAGCAGCTATCCGATGGTTTGATTATCAAGTTATTGTTCTCTGTTCTTGGAAATGCCCCAGGTTGTCCGATCAAGGCCACTGCTTACCTACCAATTTGTTTAACACTTATGAATATGTAGTCTTCGAAACAGGAGTTATGTCATCCACAATCTTTTAAGATGGTTTATGAGTTTGTTAATTAAAGTTGTGGAGTACCTGGCTCGAATGTGGTCACTGTATTTCACGTTTTGGTTGGTTTGGTTTCAAAAATGTCTTTTGGTGTGTGCGTGAATAGGATTTTGTGTTACATATTTTTTTTGTGTTATTTGTTTTTTTCGAACAATGCAGAAGTTATATTTTAGACGGAATTTTGAAAATTAACATTTATAATTGGGTGATTTTTCCAACCCATTTAAATAAATTAAGTTAAGTGCCAATTAAATTTAATTATTCGCTGAATAACCGGATGCTGGCTTACAAAGAATAGATCATAAAATGATTTATGTAAGTATAGACTAACTTAAATGCTTACGCATTTGTTGTTCTTTGCTTAATTTTATACATAAAAGCACAAGTGTAGAAGTTCTCATGTGTGAGATGTTTGTTTCATTTATTCTCGATCTTTGAATTTTACACTCGGTATAATCCAAAATATTTAAATTAATGTTTGTAACAGGTACATGAAGCTTTAATAATAACTATTTATCACAAATATTAAATAAATATACAATATATACAAAAAATTTCGGGAAAGTTTGGAATAACGTGGCAACATGCGCGCTTTGTGCTCACCCTGTGTATATAGAAAGAAGAAAGTTGTTGTTAGTGTTGGCAAAAGAAATTCGTCCTGTTTGTAAAATATATTGTGGTTACTTAACTAGAAAAAAAAAAAAACAGAAATGTGAGATTTGCTAAAGTTTACTTCGATACACCACAGAGTTAAATAAATCGTGACTTATGAATTTAATTTTATGCGAAATTCAAAACTAAAATTGAACACCTAATAAGACCAAAATTAAGTTTAATTTGAAGGTAAATTTGAAAATACGTATATGATATTCGGTCAAAGTCAAGGACATGTATTTTTATGTTTTCGAGTCAGCATCTTATGGTTGGTTTGCATATTTAGGTAGTTGCGGTTTGCGTAATTTTCATAGAATTTTTTAATTTATGGGAGAAACATCTACTAAAAATAGACTTGTGGACTCTGACAAATTCAAATAAATAGCAGAATAAAGAAAAGTAGCTACTTTAAAGTTGATCGAAATATACCGGCTGTCTCGAAAATTGCAGATTAACTCTTCGGTACGTTATGTACGGGGGTTTGGGGATCCCAAAAAATAATAAAAAAATTCTTTACGATGTAGATTACGAAAAAAACGTAATTTTATCAAAGTAAAATTGGCAACACTGCACGCACCTAATGCGTGAATACCTCCAGCTTACTTTCATTGATTTCTTAGCAACGTTGGTGACTAAAATCCACTTTTTATTTTTTTTGGGAAAAATAACCATAACAACAGTAGTAATTAATAAACCAAAAAAAAAAAACATTTAATAAGAGATTTATAAATAGAGAGCGGATTTATAAGCACAAAAAAATTAAGAATAAATAAGCGCCTAAATAAGCACAACATTTTCAATAAAAAAGTTTTATTTTAAGCAAAAAAGCATTAAAAACATATCATATTACAAATCAAAGAACACTTCTTAGAACTTTGGATAAAATATTATTACAATAATCCTAGACTTTATATTTTACACACGTATTTCAGTTTTCTTTAAAACAATTTATGATTGTAGCTTGTTCCACGTTGTCCACTGTAAAATTTTTTCGCCGATCATTTAAAATGTGTTTAAAATTGGAGAATGTGCGTTCAACATCCACACTCGTTGTTGGCGCAAATTTGAATTTTGCAACTAATGTTGAATCTAACTCCAAATTTTCTACCTTCTGGTCTTGTAAAACACGAGCAACGTCGGAAAGAACACCAAAACCTGCATTTTTATTTAACACTTCGTCAAGTTTTTGAGATACTCTAGTACCAATATCACCCCTTACTGTGTTTGCTTGTTGTTTAAATTATTTCACTAAGTTTATGACATCTACCAACAACATGTTGGGTTTTTCTAACTTTTCTATTACCATACGAATCGATAATTGCTTCTTAGAAAAGCTAGATCTTGTCGCAAATCTTTGTTTTCCAAAATATTTATGCAATCTTTAATCGATTGAGAAGAATCTTCGCTAAACTCCGTAACTACTTCCTCAAATTCTTTGACATATTTGTCATAATAAAATGTGGCCCGTAACCATGTTCCCCACCTAGCTATAATCGGCTCCGGGGGCAATGGTATGTTTGGAAATTTTTCCTTAAAATGTTGCACTCTTAGTGGGGCTTTAACAAAAATCTTTTTACCATTTGCCACTAATTCATTAACAGTAGGAAACTCCATACGTATTCCTTCAGCCACTCCGTTTAAACCGTGGGCAATGCAAATAGAGTGAATTAAATTGGGATACAATATTTTTAGATTATTCCCTGCTTTCAACATATAACGAGCTGCATCCGAGATCATTAATAAAATTTTATTGGCAAAAATAGTGACGTAAGACTGTCATTTAGAAATCTGGTAATCGTATTGCCATTTGTTTTATCTAACATTTTCAAACTTACTACATACCCTCGACTAGGGAAATTTTCATCTAAGATTCCAACAATTAAACTTGCCACGTATCTTCCACAACTATCGGTTGTTTCATCGACAGCGAACCATAAATAATTATCTCCAATGCGATGTTTAATTTCGTTGTAAACTTGCTGAAACACTGGGCCTACATCATTTTTTCGGAGAGTGCTTTCAACCGGAATATGTCAATTGCAGTGTTTTTCAAGGAATTCTTGAAAAGGGCCTTTCTCCAATTTTTTTTAAAGGTATATTGGGCTGGATCATCATTTTACATAAATCGAAATTAAACTGAAACTGCTCATCTTTTGTGGAAATATATGCAACAGATTCATGTATGGTCTGCTGTTTAATTTTAGAAACTTCAAACATTTTCTTCCTTTCTACATGAAGAGTCGTTCTGACACGTTACGTCACGTTATATTTTTTATCACTTTGAATCTAAAACAACGTACATATACAGGATTAACAAAGGAAAATAGATAAAAAAAAATTACTGAGCTTACTGTTTTCACACAAGCTCTGCAGAATATTTTGTTGTTTTCTAATTTTAATTCTGGAAAATCCCTTATCCACTCATCCGGCGTCGATTTTACTTTCGGCATTCTTTTAAAATAGTAGTAATATTACCAAAAAGAACTCAACATGTAACAAGGGAGAACCACGTATAACACTGTACTACGACAGATGCGATAGACTGATGGTTGTGAAATAAACGGTTCATTTACTTAAAAGTTTCCATTAGAAAAATTTTAAGGTAGGTAGTTGGGTACAATAATCCTTTTTTTCTAGAAAATCTTCAACAGTCTTGCCGCAAAATGCCGAAAAAGAACATCTGGTTAAAAGCTTTAATTCATTATCAACGGAAGTAAGGACTTAAAGTCATAAAATTTATGGAGTATTTTTCCAATCCTATAATAAAATTTTATTACCCAAACGACCGGAACCTATTCAGAGAAAGGGTCTGGAGTAAGTGTACTTCAATGGTCAAGTCCAGGTAAAATGCATACGATACGATACGGCTAACAAGTTTTTTGTCATCCCGACAAGACCGGCATTTGAACAAAATATACATTAAAACTCATATTCGTCGAAAAAGCATTAAATAAGCATATAAGTTTTAATATGCATAAAATTGAAAAAAAAGCAAATAAGCATAAAAAAAATGTGTCAAATGACTCCAAATTGTATCATAGTTACAGATATAAAAAAATTTTGAAGTGCTTACATTTTTCACAAAAAGCATTAAAACTAGAAATCCGCTTCCTATTTATAAATTATAAACAAAAACAAAACCAACAAAAGAAAAATCTATCAAAGCGTAACCAACTAAACACTAGAAAAGATGTTAAAAAATCCTGCCTTGTGCATATAAGTAAGCTTGTAATGTTTCCAAATTTTGATCATTCTTTATAAAAGTTAGTCACCAGTAGGTACAAAGATAAACTGATTTTGGCATATGATGTATCCTCTAAGAAAGGAGAGGGTGGGTGGGCGGGGCTAGTTGTTGCTAAGATGAGAGTGACTTTGGCAAATGAGATACCCTCAAATAAACAAGAGGGTGGGTGGGTGGGGCAGTAAATTTAGAATCATTATACCTCCACCAAAATGTGAGAAGAAATTTTTTACTATTTTTCCCTGACTCATCAAATAATTATTGTTAAAAGCGGAGCGGAGAGTTAATTCGCCATTTTCCAGACACTCGGTATAGTTTCCTTTGAGTTTACTAAACTACATCAAAATAATCCGCTTCGCTGTATTATTCAACAGCGAATTTGGAAGCTGTGTCAATAACTCCCGAATAATTGACACAACACTGGGAAAAACAGAACCAGTGTACCTAATTTAATCATAAAATCGGATAAATCTCAAACAAACAAAATTTGATATGTCCGAAAAACAAACAATACTCATCGACCTTGTAGTTACGTGTATTTGTCTCGTCGGCGATGTGCTGCATACCAATTTGTTCAAACAAACCGATGATGACCGGTTTTGAAACTGTCTTACTCAAACCGATAAAAGAACCGTAGCCTTTAGCCATCAATGGATTTATGGCCAAATAAAACCAGGTAGTAAATATTTTACGTTATATTTATTATCAGTACAATTTTACATTTACAGAAATTTTTCTTACACTAGGTAGAGTATCATAAAAATTAAAATTTCATTTTATTTGCCGCTGTAACAAAAATATTAGTAAATTACGACGTATGCAACACTTTTAACAAACTTACTAGCCTCCACTTTTCCCAAAACTGGAAGCCGATGCTGATGAGGACGCCGAGGCTTGTCCTCCTCCAGAACTTGAGGCGAAGCTACTGCTTTTGCTGCTTGCGAATCCGCCGCCGCCGCCGCCGCCATGACCGCCGCCGCCGTGGCCACCGAAGCCGCCGCCTCCATGGCCACCTAGAGATTAAATCCTGTATATGTGGCAATTTATATAGAACTTGTCTTACCGCCTCCACCACCTAAGCCGCCGCCGCCGGAACCTCCGAATCCGCCGGCACCTACCAAATAATGATGTGTTCATACTATATGTGTAAGGGTACGATAACTTACCGCCTCCTCCAAGACCGCCGCCGCCGCCGAGTCCACCGCCGCCGCCTTTACCACCGCCAAAGCCTCCGGCGCCGGACCCACCGAATCCACCAGCACCGCCGCCGGCGCCGCCGAAACCTCCATTTCCACCTCCGAAGCCGCCTCCTTTACCGCCACCGCCGGAGCCGCCGAAACCGCCGGAGCCACCGAAACCTCCGGCGCCACCGCCGCCGGAGCCGCCGAAACCTCCGTCTCCACCACCTCCGCCGAAGCCTCCTCCTTTACCACCTCCGCCGCCGGAGCCACCAAAGCCTCCGGAGCCGCCGGAGCCACCGGAGCCGCCGAAACCTCCGGAGCCGCCGCCGCCAAGACCTCCGCCGCCTCCAAGACCTCCGCCTTTACCGCCGCCGAAGCTGCCGCTGCTGCTACTGCTGCCACTGTTAGCGCTACTGCCGCCAAAGCCTATAAAAACGAGTGTTAGACAATTTTTCAAACTCTTTCGTAAACTGGTTTGAAATGATGATAATAAATGTATTTCATTGTTTCACTCTTCTTCTGTACTCGGTTTTTTAAATTTGTGTAGAAAAAATTATAAAACAAAATTTGGTGCAACAATGAAAACTTTTTGTATCTTTATGTTTATTACCACCGCCTCCTGCTCCACCGCCTCCTGCTCCACCGCCTCCTGCTCCACCGCCTCCGGCTCCACCTGCTCCGCCTAATCCACCTCCATGTCCACCTCCTAATCCTCCTCCTCCTAATCCTCCTCCTCCAGCTCCACCTCCACCGGCTCCACCTCCGCCGGCTCCTCCTCCCAATCCCCCTCCATGTCCACCTCCAAGTCCCCCAGATCCTCCTCCAATAATTTCTACAGATCCGCCAGCTCCTCCGCCATGTCCGTTTCCACCTCCCAGACCACCGCCTCCTAGTCCTCCAGAACCGCCGCCTCCGCCTAGTCCTCCAGAGCCGCCGCCTCCTCCTAGTCCGCCAGAACTGCCGCCTCCATAGCTTCCAGAGCCACTACTTGCTCCGCCTCCGGCACCTCCGGAGCCTCCTCCCAATCCTCCGCCTCCTCCTAATCCTCCGCCAGCTCCATTTCCTCCTCCTAATCCTCCTCCATGTCCTCCAGCTCCTCCAGAACCGAAACCTCCAGAGCCACCAATTGCGCCACCACCGGCACCTCCATGGCCACCGCCTCCTCCTAATCCGCCGGAGCCCCCTCCTCCTAATCCGCCTCCTCCTCCCAATCCACCTCCACCTCCGTGACCTCCGCCTCCTCCTAATCCACCTCCATGACCTCCGCCTCCTCCTAATCCGCCGCCGCCTCCAAGTCCTTTGCCACCTCCCAACAATCCGCCAAGGCCGCCTAAGCCGCCTCCGCCTCCTGCGCCTCCTCCGAATCCGCCGCCGCCGCCGAAGCCGCCCCCAAAGCCACCTCCGGCCCCGCCGCCAAATCCGCCTCCAAATCCGCCGCCGCCGCCGCCTCCTCCGCCGCCTCCACCGCTACTGCCTTTGCCGTACGAGCCATAAGGCGAGCGTCTTTGTCTGGAGACGACTTTGAGTTTCTGAAAGAAATAATTTTTTTTTTTGTTTGATGATATTTAATTTAGGTACTACCTCTGGGTTTTCTAAAGGCTGGCCGTCAGCAGGGCGGAAGTAAATTCCGTCGGTGAGGGCCTCGTCTTCGGGGATGGGTTGAACTAGCAAAATTCCTGGTTGTATCCTGGGTTTGGAGCTGTCTTGAGGGATCTCGTTGTTGATGCCGCCGTCGACATTTTCCGCTCTCTTTGGTCCGTTGATAAAGTTAATTAAGTACACTACACCCACTGGTCTTGGAACCGCCACTTCTTCGGCGATCGCGCCGACGATTAACACCACAAGTGGAACCGGCCACCGCATGTTGGGATCTGCTACAATCGGTTACAATAATCCGTTTTTATACCTCTTTCGTTCTTCGTTGTATCATTACCACGTTTTTATTACACGTAAAGAATCACGATTTGATTATGCAATCACAACAGAAAAAAACAGAGATCCTATTATTCCGAATTGTGGAGATAATTAGCAGATCTTCGCGGTACGAAAAGAGGAAAAAAGCGCAACATTTTGACTGCCGGCGTGGAACCTGTTCATGACTTATTGCCTTATTAGTGTAAACACCATTGTTCCTTTTTTGCCGATAAAAGGCGTAATTGCGATAATCTTTATTATTAGAGTACCGATCAAAAAACACAAAAGAATCTTGACATTTAAAAATTCGCAGAAAGTTTTCTGTTCGAGCGTGTTTTATTTCTCGAAAGAACGGTTTCAGTGTAAATCAATTTGCATAATCGGCTTCGATTACATTGATTAATAGGAATTATAAAAGCTGTCGTCAAAATAATACTCGTTCATCGATAATAATAATGCAATTAATGGCGGTGTTAACCACAAATGATTGAAAAATGACGGTATCGGTGATAAATTAGCACAATTTATTTATTGTTTATTAAGTCTAAATTATGATAATTACGAAGGTAGAAATTTCTGAAATAATGGAATTTTAAGATAACTAGTTTTTTGGTAAATTCCGTTAGTAAACTGTAACTTGATTTTGTAGGTGATTTTGTGAGTCCCCTGAAAAATTTTAAGAATTAAATTGCATCATCGAGAGTTATTATGTTAATAATGTTTTGAAACATGTTGACGCTTCGCATCGTAAAAACAATATTTTATATGTTAACTATAATTAGCGAAAAAGAAAATAATAACTTATTTTAGTAAAATGAAGATAACAAAAAGGAAAATAAAACTGCAGACATAAATTAATCTTCCTAGATTACGAGTCTAGCGTAAATTTATTCCACTTTCAAATAACCGAGGAAATCAGGAAAATATTTTTATTAAAAAAGTGTGATGTTATCGATAATAACTCGAATGTTTATACCATTGAAAACAGTTTTCTTAGGTAACAACTATGAGAGGTTATTGTTGTCCAAAATTATCGATTTTATTCAACAAACATATTAAAAAATTTAAATAAGGTAGTGATAATTATCATCGTTAGTGCTAATTGCATAGTGTGCTCATTGGTTGAATTTAGAAATATTGACACGTTTGATGGGTCAATTGACATCATGTGACATGTGAGTGGAATAATCCCATTTTTTCAAAAATTGTCAAAGCGGTTATGTAGTAAGGAAAACGGGACTAAATTATCGAGAATTATTCGTAAATTAGGGGTCTGAAGTCATTCTTGCTTCATCTGTTAATAAATGAGAAAAATGACAAAATAAAATCCAAAAAATTATAATGAGATTATTTTTGACGCTGTTCTCTCAGAAGAGAAAAAAATATCTTCCAAAGGTTTTCCAAGAAGTTTCTAAAAATGTTTCAAAAATTTTCATAGATTGCTACGATTTTTGGTGGTTTCTTTAAATTATTCGAATTTTTTTAAAAATGTTCCAAAAATTTTACAAAAAATTGTATAATAACGAAAACATATCTGCTTACGTGTCTAAAGTCATTCCTGCTTCATCTGTCTATAATTATATGGGAAAAATGGGAAAATAGTTTTCAAAAATTGTCCAAAAAATGGATAACCGAATTCTATCCAAAAAATAAAAATGGGATATACATACTGAGAGTCTTTCGTAGATTGCAATCATTTTTGGTGGCTTCTTTAAATGACTCAGAAAAAATGGAAATTATTTTCCAAGAAATTTCCAAAAATTTTCCAGAAAATGTTCAAAGAAGTTCGACAAGAAAAACGGGAATATATTTTTTAAGTTTTCCAAAAAAGCTTAATCATAGGCTCCGAATTGTTGCTGCTTTTGAAACAACGGAAGAAAACGGGAAAATAATTTCCAAACATTATCGAAAAAATTCCCCGAAATTTTTCAAAAATGTTCTAAACATTTTCTAAAAAGTTATATAGTAAACAAAAAAATTATATTATTACGAATATAAAGCTAATTTTGATTCATCTGTCTAAATAAGAAAATAATTTTCGAAAATTTTCCAAAAAATGGATAATCGAATTCTATTCAAAAGGAAAGGAGGATACACATCTTGAGAATCTTTTCGTAGATTGCGATCATTTTTGGTGGCCTCCTTAAATATCTGATTCAGAAAAAATTAAAAGTATTTTCCAAAAATTTCCAAAATTTCCAAAAAATTTTCCAAAAAGTTATATGACACAAAAAACATAAATGATTACGCGTCTCAACTCACTCTTGCTTCATCTGTCTAAATAAGTGAGAAAAACGGGAACATATTTTTCAAGTTTTCCAAAAAAAAAAAACTTAATCGGCTTCAATTAAAAAAAAAATGTCTAACATATGGAAAAACAATCGTAGATTGCGAGTTTTTGCTGCTTTTGAAACAACGGAGAAAATGGGAAATAATTTTCAAAAATTGTCCAAAAAATTTCCTAAAATTTTTGAAAAATGTTCAAAAATTTTTGAAAAATGTTCAAAAATTTTCCCAAAAGATATATAACAAAGAATAAATATATATGATTGCGAGTCTAAAGTTAATCTTGCCATATCTGTCTAAATTAGAGAAAAATGAGAAAATAATTTTGAAAAATTGTCCCAAAAATCCGGTAATTTCCCAAGAAGGTATATATCACAAAGAAAATATAAATGTTTACAGGTTTGAACTCATTCTTGCTTCATCTGTCTAAATTATGGAGAAAAACGGGATCACATTTTTCAAGTTTTCCAAAAAAAGCTTTAATTCAAAAGAAAAAAAAATGTCTAACATATGGAAAAACAATCGTAGACTGCGAATTTTTGCTGCTTTTACAACAACGGAAGAAAACGAGAAAATAATTTCCAAAAATTATCCAAAAAATGTCCCAAAATTTTTCAAAAATGTTCAAAAAAATCCCAAAAGTTATATAGCAAAGAAAAAAAAAATATATGATTACGAGTCTAAAGTCAATTTTGCTTCATCTGTCTAAATAAGAGAAAAATGAGAACATAATTTTCAAAAATTGTCCAAAAAGTGATTAATCGGATTTTTTTCAAAAGAAAAAGAGAATGTAACAAATTGAAAATCATTTCGTAGATTGCGGTAACTTTTGGTCGCCTTTTTAAGTAACTATAAAAAATTAAAAGTATTTTCCAAAAATTTTTCAGAAAATTATTCTGAAAAATAATTTCCAAAAATTATCCAAAAAAAATCCTGAAATTAAAAAAAAATGTTCAAAAAATTTCCCGACAATTATATCTATAGCAAGGGAAAAATATATACGGACACGAGTCAATCTTGCTTCATCTGTGTAAAAAAGAGAAAAATGAGAACAGAATTTTCAAAAATTGTCCAAAAAGTGATTAATCGGATTTTTTTCAAAAGAAAAAGAGAATGTAACAAATTGAAAATCATTTCGTAGATTGCGGTAACTTTTGGTCGCCTTTTTAAATAACTATAAAAAATTAAAAGTATTTTCCAAAAATTTTCAGAAAATTTTTCGAAAAATAATTTCCAAAAATTATCCAAAAAAAATCGTGAAATTAAAAAAAAAATGTTCAAAAAATTTCCTGACAGTTATACCTATAGCAAGGGAAAAATATATACGGACACGAGTCAATCTTGCTTCATCTGTGTAAAAAAGAGAAAAATGAGAACATAATTTTCAAAAATTGTCCAAAAAGTGATTAATCGGATTTTTTTCAAAAGAAAAAGAGAATGTAACAAATTGAAAATCATTTCGCAGATTGCGGTAACTTTTGGTCGCCTTTTTAAGTAACTATAAAAAATTAAAAGTATTTTCCAAAAATTTTTCAGAAAATTTTTCGAAAAATAATTTCCAAAAATTATCCAAAAAAAATCCTGAAATTAAAAAAAAATGTTCAAAAAATTTCCCGACAGTTATACCTATAGCAAGGGAAAAATATATACGGACACGAGTCAATCTTGCTTCATCTGTGTAAAAAAGAGAAAAATGAGAACATGATTTTCAAAAATTGTCCAAAAAGTGATTAATCGGATTTTTTTCAAAAGAAAAAGAGAATGTAACAAATTGAAAATCATTTCGCAGATTGCGGTAACTTTTGGTCGCCTTTTTAAGTAACTATAAAAAATTAAAAGTATTTTCCAAAAATTTTTCAGAAAATTATTCTGAAAAATAATTTCCAAAAATTATCCAAAAAAAATTCTGACATTAAAAAAAATGTTCAAAAAATTTCCCGACAGTTATATCTATAGCAAGGGAAAAATATATACGGACACGAGTCAATCTTGCTTCATCTGTCTAAAAAAGAGAAAAATGAGAACATAATTTTCAAAAATTGTCCAAAAAGTGATTAATCGGATTTTTTTCAAAAGAAAAAGAGAATGTAACAAATTGAAAATCATTTCGTAGATTGCGGTAACTTTTGGTCGCCTTTTTAAGTAACTATAAAAAATTAAAAGTATTTTCCAAAATTTTTCAGAAAATTTTTCGAAAAATAATTTCCAAAAATTATCCAAAAAAAATCCTGAAATTAAAAAAAAATGTTCAAAAAATTTCCCAAAAGTTATACCTATAACAAGGAAAAAATATATATGAACACGAGTCAATCTTGCTTCATCTGTCTAAATAAGAGAAGAATGGGAAAATGATTTTAAAAAATTGTCCAAAAAGTAATTAAGTAATCGGATTTTTTTCAAAAGAAAAAGAAAATGATACAAATTGAAAATCATTTCGTAGATTGCGGTAACTTTTGGTCGCCTCTTTAAGTAACTTCACAACAATTTCACATTTCTCAAGAACGTTGACAAAACATGGAGGGTCAATGATTCTGACAAACGAGGAAGTTTGCTGTGTTCCCCTTCATTCCGTGGAATGCTTATCAGAAGAAAATATATGTGAATTGTCAGGTATCTATATAACAAATTTAGATTTGTATCTAATTAATGTATACAAACCGCCATCTGCTAATTTTAACATGTTTGTTGACGTCCTAGTCAAATTGT